TCTTCTTCCTGCCTGTGCAGCTCTCCAGATGGTCGCCCACCTGTGGCCGGAAAGATTTTCTACAGTGGTTTGCTTTCCAGCCATTCTCCTGTCTTCCAGGGTTGGGGGTTGCCTGGACACTCATCTTCCTGTCCGCGGGCCCCGCTGCCACTCTCGGACTCGCATGCTGCCCAGTGTCCCCTGCATCACTCCTGTCTATGAATCCCCCACCTTTCCCAGTCCCTGCTGAGGCTGCCCCTTCTCCACTGAGCTTCCCAGCAGCCCTGGGCCGAGAGCTGCTGGCTCTGGTGGCATGTCCCTTCCCTCTTGGCTGCAGTCTGCAAGCTAAGCTGTCTTGGGGACTGGGAGTTCCTGTGTCAGGTGTGGGAGGGGGTCTGGGTGGGGACACTGAAGCAGTCAGGGAATCCCACGTTCTGCACCCTCGCAGAGTCTGGGTGAGCAGGACTACCCGCTGTGTGTCCTTGGGCAAGTTGTCACACCTATCTGAGCCTTGGGATCCTCCAGGGCTGTGTTCTCTGCCCTCCGGAGAGGACTTGCTCCCCCACACCACCCACCCTCCCAGAACCTTCTCTCCAGGCTGCTCCGGCTGCCACAGCCGCCTGCCATCCAAGGAGTCATTACACCCTAACCCTGCCGCGTTTATTAGTGGATTTTAATAGACTGTCACGTCTCACAAAGAGGCAGAAGGAGAAAAGATTGAACGCTCTTCTCTTGCCGAAAGCAAACAGATTGACTCAAAAATGACTCCATCGCTAAAGGATGAGGCTGGAAGGCCTCCCTCTGCTCCGGAACGGTGCTGCAGGCACAGGCAGAAACTTCCAGAGAATGGAGGCACCATGGCCGGGGCTCCCACCCCCTCAGAGTGATGTCTCCCAGGGGCTGTGTTTCTGCCACCACCTGCGCCCTCCGGCCTGGCCCCCTCAGGCCCTGTGGGGAGCATGGCTGCGGCCTCCTCTGTGCCCCTGCTGCCATGTGTGCCTCTGTGGGGCTAACAAGGGTGTTGGTGTATAGGGACCGCCTGGGCAAAGGGGCACATCTATGAGTGTATATCCCCAAGAGCATGAGTGTGTGATCATGTGTATAAGAGTATGTATATCTATGTAAGTAGGTGTGAGAGTGTATATGAGTGTGAATTTTGTGTATATATGAGTGTCTTATGTGTGTTTGTGAGTGTGTGTGTGAGTTGTATACATGTGAGTGCGTATGTATGTTGAGTGTTTACATGTCTATGTCAGTGTGTTTGTGAGTGCATGTATTTAGTGAGTTGTGTCTGTGAGTGTATGAGTGTGGGTATGTGAGTTGTGTATATGTGTATATTATGAGTGAGTTTACATGTTTATGTGAGTATGTGTATATGAGTGTGAGTTGTGTATATATATGTGTATGAGTGTGTATGCAGGTACATGTATATGAGTTGTATATATATGTATGAGTGTCTATGTCTATGTGTACGTGTGTATATATGAGTTTGTTTTGAGTGTGAACTTATAGGTAGCGAGTATGTATCTGTATGAGTGTATGTCTGTATATGTGTGTAAGTGTATATGAGTGTCAATGAGTGTATATGTGTATATACGAATGTGTAAGTTTTGTATATGTGTATGCGCTTGTGTGTCTTTGAGCATGTATATGCGAGAGTATGAGTGTGGATGTGTGGATGTGTGTCTGTGTTAGTATGTATATGTGAGAGTGTATGAGTGTTTGAGTATATGTATATTAGTCTCTGTATATTAGTGTCTGTATGAGTATGTGAGTATGTGTATAAGTATATAAGTGAGTATGTGTGAGTGTTTATGTGATCGTGTATATGTGTGTATGAGTATATGAATATGCCTAAAAGTGAGTGTGTGTTTTGAGTATCTGTATGTCTGTCTGTGAGTGTCTGAATGTCTGCGTGTGTATGAGTGTATGTATAATTCTGTATGAGTGTGTCTATATGTAAGTGTGTGTTTCAGTGTGTGAGTGTATGAGCGGACTGTGTGTGCGCATGTGTGGGTGTATGCATTCTGAGTGCATGTGGGAACATAGAGCTTGTGACTCTAGCATTTGCCTCATCTTTGCCATGTGTCCTGTTGCTAGGATGCAGGGATACGCTTAGAGCATACCCCTGCACTTGCACTTATACCAACACTCACACACACACACACACACACACACTTGCACAGCAGCGCATCTCCAGTCTCAGGGCCGCTGCAGGAAGTGAGTTGAAAGGTGTGAGGCTGGGCCTTGCCCACTGTAGGTTCCCCCATGCAGAGTGGCTGGGAAGCTCCACACTGAGACAGAAGGAACATCAGGCTCGAGGGCAGAGTCTGTGTGTCTGCCTCTTGGGGGGTGGCTAGGAAGTTCGCTGAGATGAGCACCGGGCTCGGCCTGGCCTGGCCACTGTTGGAGGTGATGCCAGCTCTCTGCATGCTGGCCCCATCAGTGGGGCTACCCCTGGAAGCCTCGACTCCCTAACCAGGTGACACCAAGCGGTCATGGTCTGCTCTGGCCCATCCCCACGTCTGCCAGATGCACACAGTGCCTGGCGAGGGGCCAGCGGCGTCCATCGGGCTCAGCTGGCCTCACACTCCGATGAGCGGCAGGGCGGCTGGGGACGGGCCGTCCTGTGGGGCGTCAGCTGCTGTGCTGCCGGTGGGGGAGGGCATCTTCCTGAGAATATGATGGCACGTCAGCACCCGCCTGCCACCCCAGGACTCTGCCACCCCGTAATCTGGTGGGCTGTAATTGCTGGTGTCTCTTCAGATCATTTTTGTGCAAGGTGACAGGCTGGCTGCTGGAGTGAGCCACTAATCACACAGAGATGCCCCGTTGGAAAGCGGGCGCAGTGCACCCAGGGTAGTGTCTGCCAGGCAGCCTTGCTGGGCACGTGCTGACTCATCTGCATGTAATTCCAGGGCAGGCGCTTCTCTCTGGCTGCAGTTCCCAGCCCAGCAGGGGACTCCGGTTCATAACGGAGCCCAAGGCCGGGGCCCTGGCTGCAGCAGTTCCCACAAAGCTATCGATCTCACGAGGGGCTGCGGGGCTCAGGGCAGCAGGGCTCAGTGTATTCATCACCAGAGCCGGCAGCTGGTCACCTGCTGCCCGCCCCCCCAGGCCCTGGACCCTGACGTCACGTAGGCAGGGCACACGCCCTCGCACCTGCCAGCCTGGCTCCTGGGCTGGGGTGGGCAGGGAATGGGCTGGGGTGGACAGGGAGTGGGCTGGAGGCGTGGCACCCACAGGCCGCATCACCAGATCAGATGGTAACCTGGACAGGACAGCACCGGACACCGCCCGCCGTGCAAGCCCACGGTGGCTAATAAAACGGCATCAATATTTTATATCTAATTATTAAATATTTAAAGTGGGAAACTGAAATAGTTTAGGAGTTTATAAGACATGAATAATTCATCCTGGAAGTGGGCCCAGCTTTGGGCCTGAGCAGAACCCCACCCCCACCTGCTCCCCAAGGCAAGCTCGCCCCACCCCTGCATGGCCCAGCACCAGCCACGCTGGGGTCGCTTCCCAGCAGACCTGGGTCTCCTCCATGGTCTCTGCTCAGCAGAAGGACCAGTGGGTACATCTGCCCTTTAGGTGTGGGAGTCTCTGTGCCACCCCATCTCCTCTGGCCCCGCCTCTCCGCCCTGTGCCACACACCACCCCCCCACATGGCTGTTTCCTCTGGACGTTGTGCTGGCAGAGCTCCTCGAACCCGTGCGTTTCTGCCCCTCGGGCTCTGCCTTGATTAGCTTGTCCCTTCTGGGGGCCCGGGGGTAGTCCAGTCACCCAGACTGAGGTGTCAGGGAGCCCCAGCAGCCCTCCACAGAGGCTGGAGACCAGCCACCCACAGCACAGCACCCCGCTCTGTGGACCACCCGGGACCCTCACAGCCACGCGATCCCATCCCTGTCCTTGAAGTGGCCGCAGGGTCCCGTTGGGAAAGAGCTGCCCGGCTCCTCAGGGCTCAGACACTGCAGTTCCAAGGCTGAAATATTAGTCCTTTCTGTTGTATTTTTAAAGCCAGAAAATCCCAGCATTGGCTAAGTGTATTTTATTCACTGTTCAGAAAGAAAAATGGCTCAGCTCTGCAGCCCCAAGGGGGAGTTTCAGGCTCTTGCAGCTGGAGACGGGCCGCGGGAGCATCCGTGCGGGCCCCCGTGTGCCCATCCTGGGGTGCCCCCCTGCTGACCACGTGCCGGACCTCCCAACTGGACCCCATTCCAGGGTGGGGCACAGGCGAGCCCCTCCTTGGTTGCGGGGCTCTGACACCCCCAGTGGGCCGAGACTTCCAGGTGGAGCGCTAAGCGCTGGTTACCCTTTGATTTCCAAGTCTGATTGCTCGATTAATCAAGAGCTCCGAGCCCTCGTCTCCACAGACCAGCGCTCGGCCAGAATAACAATGTCCTCTGGGGCTGGAGGCCGAGTGAAGGGTGCCAGCGGGGCAGGTGGACAGGATGCTGGAGCCAGAGGGGCTGTCCTGGCATCAGCACGTGGAGTGCCGCAAGCAATGCAGACAGAAGCTGACTGTTCCGCCGTGTTCTGGATAGCGGGACCCAGGCATCACCGTGTTCCGTGTTGTCCTCTCACGCCCCCACAGTCCCGTGGCCGCTGCTCACACTTAGTGTCGCCCGGGTGCTGCTGGTGCCCACCCCCCACTGACGGACCTCGTCCCCAGACCTGAGGGTCACCCCAGGAGCTGCCTCTGTAAGAGACTGAACTCACCATAGCCTTTGGCCAGCTGGGCCCTATCGCCCGCCCATGGCTCTGTCCTACACAACTCGTTCCCCTCTGGGCAGCATGAACCATGGGGGCCTCAACCCACAGCCTCCTCCTGGGGACCCCCCTGGCATGAGGCTGCAGCGCCCTGGCCTCATTCTCCCATGACCGCCTTCCAGTCCGGGTGCCCCCTCCATCAGCCAGCCCCAGGCTTCCGTCGGCCACAGAGCAGGGTGCGGGCTAGCACTCATGGGTTCTGGGCTAGCCCTGCAGAGCTCACTCGCCTTCTTCCCTTGCCCCAGAGCTGAAGAAGCAGGTGGAGAGCGCTGAGCTCAAGAACCAGCGGCTGAAGGAGGTTTTCCAGAGCAAGATCCAGGAGTTCCGCAAGGCCTGCTACACGCTCACGGGTTACCAAGTGGACATCACCACCGAGAGCCAGTACCGCCTGAGCTCCATGTATGCCGAGCACAAGGCTGACTGCCTCATCTTCAAGGTAGGCCCGGGCCGGCCCACGTGGCATCCTGGGGGTGCCTGGCCACACCAGCCCCTCATTCCCAGGCACCCGTGGGCATGACTCCATCCCTGGGGACACCAGGGTGGGCCACTGTCGTGAGTCCCCATACAGGGCTAAAGTGTCTGTGCCATCAGAGAGCGGGGGCCATGGCACGGTGTGGGCCCAAGATAGCCATGGGCCGCTCTCTGGCCGCTGCTCGGACATTTGTGAGGAAAGGCGGTGCGAGGAGGTGGTCCTGGACACAGCTCCCGAGGCTAACCTCAGGCTTTCAGTGCCCTGCGCCCTGCTCAGTGGGCCGGAGCCCAAAATGGTGAAGCTATGACCATGCCCCAGGCACCAGCACTGCCCCACATTGACCCTCCCCAGATATTGACCCTCCCCCACACTGACCTTTCTCCACACTGACCCTCCCCCGAACACTGACCCGACCTGGACACTGACCCTCCCCTGACCTGGACACTGACCCTCCCCCAACACTGACCCTTCCCCACACTGACCCTCCCCCAGACACTGACCCTCCCCCACACTGACCCTCCCAAGTGAGCAGGCCCGACCCTCCTTCCTGTGTTCTCCTGGCAGCCCCGTTGACTGAGTCTGCAGCTGCACATCACCCCCTGGCCCTCGATAGTCCAGAAAGATGGGTGCCTGCTGCTCTGCCTGTACTGCCCGGTTCCCCACTGAGCACATCTCTGCCCCCAGGGGAATGGCCTTAGCCCAGCCAAGTCAGAGTTGCCAGTGTGTGTTTGTCCTGGTGGGCCTCCGGGGATGCGGGGCAGTTGAGCCCCAGTGTGTGTCCACCTCAGTGATGGCACTGCCTGTGGCCTGCCTCGAAACCAGGGCCCCTAATGCCCACAGCCTTGCTATCCGTCTCTTGGGCTGCAGCCTCTGTTCCCCTGGGTCCCAACTCAGCCACGGCCACTGCTGCTCCGGCTCCGGGTACAGGTTCCTGCCCATGCTCTCTGCCCGGTTTCCTCTTCCCCACAGCCTTGAAGGGGTACAGCCGAGCCCCTTTCCCAGGGGCAGTCCCTGCTGAGCAGATTGGCCACTCTGGGCACGTGCGTCCTTTGTCAGTGTGAACTCTGGCACTGTCGGCCTCCTTGCTGTTATACTGGAGGGCACCTCTGCTCAGAGAAGTCCAACATGAGCCTGGAACCCCGGGAGTCCCTTGGCCCAGGGTCGGAATTCAATAGCTCACCTTTGCAGCCAGGGCTGCGACCTTTTCCCGAGAGATGCGCGTGTGGCACCAGGGCTTGTTCCAAGTGGACTCGCCATCGTGCTGGCGTCACTCTCCTGAGCTGCGGCCTTTAGCTGGCCTTTAGCCCCACAGTCGTCACTGCCCCAGGGACTCCGTGACCTCAGCCCTGCATCCCAGCACTGCAGCAGATCTGGAGGTGGACATAGTCCCACCCAGTCCTGGGACCCAGAGCCAGTTCCCTACTGTGCTCGGCTGGCTCCTGGCAGGCTCAGGGGACCACATGGGGGGATGCGGGGGCTGGTCAGCCGCATGCAAGGCCAGTGCCCTGCCCTCGGCACTGCTGCTCTGGCCACTCCACAGACATAATCAGCTGGTCAACTTCTGTAAACGTCCTGCAGATTGGAGTTCAATCTGCTGATGGGTTGGGAAGAGCTAGCGTTTCAGCCACAGCTAGCCGCCCCACCCAGAGCGTGTCCACACGGCCGTGTCCTTCCCTTCCCTCTACCGTGTGCCAGACATTGCCTCGTTTGCTTGGGGGCAGCACTGGCTGTGCAGGGCTCTTTGCGGTCCAGTGCTCAGGCATTCCCCTGGGCTCCGCTCGGGACTCAGCTAAGCTTTGCATCTTCTTGTGCATCCCGCTGTCCAGCTGAGGGCCTGACTTCTGCCCTGCTGGTTACCCTGTCTCACAGTTGATGCTATTGTAAGTGACCGTTCACAGCTTCACTCTCCAGCTTCTCATTCCTAGAATACAGAAATCATTTCTTTTTACGTATTAACTTTAAGACTGAAACAGTGGCTATAGGAACTTCTAGAAGATTCTTCAGTTTTCTACTATGTAGAACTGTCTGTAGAGTGGTCTGACATCAGGACTTTGGTGGGCGGGGGAGGTCACACCCAGTGATGCTCAGTGGTCATTCCTGGCTCTGTGCTTTGGGATCCGTCCTGGCAGTGCGTGGAACACTGTGGGGAATTGAACATGGGCCAGCTACGTACAAAGCAAGCCCCCTCCGCACCATCCTGGCTCTCTGGCCCCTGGCATTGGGGATTTTATTATCCATGTCTACGAAGCCCGCTTGGTCTTTCCTTATTCTTTGCTGTTTCTTTCATTTTAGTTAAAACTTAGTGACATAAAACCATGATGTTATTTTGTGATATTTTTTTTTGGAGAATCTTACATGTGCTTATATTCCAAATTTATTGATCTACATACAGATCTCTATATCAGTCTATATATTGATCTCTACCTACAGCAATGAAAGGAAAAGCCAGGCACGGTTTGCTATCGACTGCGGTGTGGCTGGGTTTTCTCTACCTGTGGCTCCTATAAATATTCGCATCACATTTCCTTGCCAATTAACTTGCTCTGGCGAGCCCCACTGCGGGTCTGCTCACACGCCACCTGCTCCCTAATTGCCCATCAGAATGCGGGCGCGGGGGGGGGGGGGGGGGGCACTTCAGCCACCTAGCAGCCAGGTGACAGCAGCCAGGTGACCGGTGAGGAGACCAGGCAGAAGGACCCAGCGCCAAGTTACGCAGCTTTTCTATTTTAAAATCATCTGGTTCTAATTTACTAAAATAATGTAGTATAGTCACTGCCAAATGCTGCATTTGATTTATGGAGATACTTTGGCGGATTTTTCCATCCCACTCATGGATACTGTATTTCCTGCCCCTCTGTTGCGGCTAGAGAGACTCGGGCCTTCAGCGAAGACAATTCTGCGCTGGTCAGGGGTCTCGGAGCCGAGTGTGCAGAGAGACCCTCAGTCTGTGCCGAGCAAGGCAAGCACAGACACTGCAGGGACCGTCGCAGGAAGTGGCCATGGGGGGATTCATTTTCCCTCCACTCTTCCAAGTTTGTGGCTGAGACTCCTGGTGCCCAGAGACAGACAGGGCAGCAGTGGGTGAGGGCAGCAGTGGACGCCCAGCAAGCGGAGCAGAGCCTTTGGGAAGGACGTGGGTGCCAGGGCTAGGGAGGCCGAGGAAGAGAGGCGCTCCAGGAAGCCCCATGGGCCCATGGGACTCCTGCCCACTTGTGTCCTCCATGTAGCCAAGGTCAGAAGTACTGTCAACCAGCGGGTCTCGGGGAACAGAGCACTTGGTCCCCAATACCACAGACTAGAGAAACCTCCTCCCTTCCCACATGGCCTCGGCCGCTTATGGCCCTGGAACGTGGCGCCCAGCTGCCCTGGCCAGAAGCTTCTGGGCCTTTGGGGAGCCCTGGCAGTACCGGGTGGTCCATGTGGAGGCCTGTGCTGTCTCTCCGGCACCGGGAACCAGAGCCACATGGTGGCTACTGCCTCAGAGTCGAGGGGGGGAGGGGAGACCGCCCCGGAGGTGAGCCCCGTGGCTGCTGTGGCTGAGAACCCCTTCCTGGGCATCCCTCAGTCCCTCCCGTGCACTCATGTCCCCATCAGGCAGCTCTCGAGCCAGGCACGTGCTCCACCCTGAGCCCACCTCAGGCCCCTCTGCACCTGCCTGCTAGACCCGCCCAGGCCACATGTGGGGTCAACTTGGGCTTTGCTCCTGGACCATGTTCCTGGGGCAGAGGGCCAGGGGCCACAGGCCAAGGTTATCTGAGTTTTGTGCTGGGAGGAAACGGGGCCGAAGGGCCTGGGATGAGGGCAGCGGGGGCGGGGGCTGAGCCTGTGTCAGTGGGGCCCCCCCAAACCTGGAACTTGAGCACGGTGCTGCGGCTGCCCGCTCGTCCCTGAGGAGCCCCCAGGCAGCCCTGAAGTGAGGGTGCAGCCTGGTCACAGCCGGCAGCCTCACGCCTGCCCCTGCTGTGGGCCCCCAGGCAGCTCCGCTCCGCCCCGCCCAGCGTCCCGGTGGCTGCCAGTCCTGATTAACTGAGCAAACTTCATTAGTTTCCGTCCGAGTTTGTGGAAGGCTGTTCTCCAGGGAGGCGAACGGCGCCTCCGGTTACCCGCCGCCGCTCTCTGAGGTGCAAGATTAATATGGAGCAGCCCCCGGCCCCTGCATGGCCTCGTGGGAGAGACACGCCACCCACGCTGGTCTTGGTGGGTGTGGGTGGGGTCCACAGGGCTCAGTCTCCAGCGTGTTTCTGCGAGTCCATCTTGAGGGCCAGCGTTTATTGAGAATGAGGGTGTTTGCAGTGGTGGTAGGAAGCTCCTTTCAGGCTCGTGCATTTAAGTTAATCAGGAGATGCTTGTTTAGCTGGCTGGCGGGAGTGGGACTCGGGCACTCCAGAGGCGGGAGGCTGAGAGCAGAACGGAAGGACAGGAGCTCAGGGGAGGGAGCACCGGGCCCGGCCTGCAGCAGAGCAGGGACTGCGGCCTCCCAGCACGGTAGAACCTGGCGTCAGTACCACACAGGAATCAGGGCTGGGCCAGATGGTCCCTCTGGTCACCAGGAAAGTCCCCCACCCCCTCCGCACCCAGATCCTCTGGCTCCCGTGGGACTCCTTCCTCTGGTCCTTGGGGCCCTGCTCCAGTGTCACCTTGAGGAGGGAGGGACCATTCTTTGTGCTTGTTTTGGGGCCACACCCAGCTGTGCTCCGGGCTTGCTCCTGGCTCTGTGCTCCGGGATTGGACCCAGGCTGGCTGTGTGCAAGGCAGAGCCATGCTCTCGCTTCTCCCCACCCAGTGCTGGGCTCGGGCTGTGACCCTGCAGCGCCGGTGCAGACTCAGCCTCCTGCATGCAGGGCGCCCCTCCCTCCTTTCAGCACTGCCCTGACCCCTCTTGCAGGCTGTAGTTCGGGAGGTGGAAGGAGGGAAGGATTCAGGGCCATACCTGGCTATGCTCCGGGATTCCTTCTGGGGCAGTG